GACCTTATCGCCTGAAGAAGACTAGCAGTAAGCAGTCGAAACGTCTCAAGTGACTACATCGTGAGACAAACGATAATACACTTTATTAAAAAAAATTAATGTTCGCGAACGTTTTATAATTCACGGAATTAATTAATTAAATAATTTTAATTCAAGTGTTGGTTAGCTATGGCTACTATAAGTTCTAATTTTTTTAAAATTGCCTATTAAAGAAACAGTGATTTATCAGCTGTTTTTCAAGTTTAACCCAATGCAATCTGTTTCGCTTTTCTCCAAGTTTGCCCACCCTTTTTGGCCTTCCTCTTTTTGTCTTGAGCCTTAATGAAAGGTACACTGCGGTGACAAATATGACAAAAGTGTGTCAACACGATAAGAGAAAGAAAAGTTTAAATGTATTAGCAGTTTCACGTCCTTGAATTGGCGCTAAAACATAACGAGCTTCGATCAGCCACCGCTAATCTACCTTTCGGCAATGTCTGCTTCGCAGACGGAAATTACCTGTAACATGCAGTAGATAGCGTTTACTTCGCAGGCTACCTTTCGTGAAACAGCTAGCGCTGTAAATAAGCACAAAAGGAACAAAACCGACGTCAACGTTTACGTATCTTTCTATTGAAGACATGAGTTAATCACTAAAACAGTGTTTCTGCTAACCACATGCGGTGAAAATAGATTGATAGAAGTTTATTATGTCAATACACTTAGCTACAAGAGTCGTCTTATGAAGTGTCAAGATCTGCCTGAGCTCACCTGCTAGTTTACAGGTATTACGCATAAAATAAAATCAATTTAATTTTATTGTGAACGATCCTAAGTTGACTTTTTCTTGGAATAATGGAACTTTCATGAGTCAAGCGTTATGAAATTTATCACGAACTCAGCCTCTGTTGTATTGAAGGTGACCACTTTTGCGTTTTTAACTAAAAAATGGATAAACTGTGAAGCTTCTATCATTATCTAAATAAAGGGCCTGCATGTAATTAAACTGACAGCTGAGAATTCAACCGGGAAGGGGGAGGGAGCTCTACTCCCTATATAATGCCCTTTACCGGGAGGCTCCGCCTAAAGGAGTACCTTTTTTGAGGCTTCAGGTATATGACATGGTAGGGATTTTGCAAGTTGAGGTATGATAATCTAAAAGGATAGGGAAATCTTTCATTTGGTTATTTAAAGTGCCTAAAATTAACAGAACAGAAGTACATTATAGCTGCATCATTTCATTTTTAGGCACTACATGAAAATGACAAGAAGACTTATTTGTTTGGCGATTCATTCACAATACGGACCAGTCATGACAGTATGTGAAAGGGGAACCTTTTTTCAACTAAAGGTATACAAAAGGGGTTCCTTTTCTATTTAAATTGGTGCACAAAAGGGTAGGGGGTTAAACCTTGGGGCGAAGTCTCCCCGTATAGAGCTTTGTAGAGTACCCGCCGGGAATTCAACAAAGTCTTAACTGTCAGCTAAGAAATGACCGGTCTTTTAACTGACAGCTGACAGAGGAATAAGCCGAAATTTTAGCTGATATAGCTGAGGAATCACTAAAGCTTTGACTGATGATTGAGATTCCAGGAATCCATCCAAACCCTCCCTACGACCTCCACATAATCAACATAACATTACATCATAGTTACACGAATTTCATCTACTCTGGGCTTACCCTTCAAAATACTATCAGCGAGAAATTGTTTTTTTTTCGATCTCAATGCTGCCATGTAATATTCTCTGTTTGTCCAACGCAAACATTTGTTTGACCGACCAAATTTGACTAGAGTGTCATTCATTGGTTGATCGATTCGCTCTTTCGGCGTTTTGACTTTACCTTAAAGAGAATAATTCTGCATAATATAAATGCAATCGAAGAACATATTTCGCGGTGACACGATATTTCTGCTAAACAGAAATGTTTCATTTTCTATTTGCAGTTGTTCTGCTCCGTTTTCCGTGTGTTACAGGCCAGCATCAACGCCTGATCCAAGGTAATCGTGGTTTAAAACAATCTAGTAATCAACAGGGATTATCATACGCCAATTTTGTAGCTCACAAGTTTCACCATCTTCAAGGATCGCTTTTGGACTATTCTTGTGAAGTTGTTCAGGACGAAGAGTGCGCTTTTGCCTGTGTTGATAATGCGCCCTGTATTTCGTTCAACGTTGCTTCGTCGCCAAACGAAAATGGAACGCTTCGCTGCGAGCTGCTAAGTGAAGACATGTTCAGAAGTCCTGAAAAACTAACCGTTTCACAACAATTTCACCATTATAGCATAAAGGTAAGTGGTGATTTGAAATCCAGCTCAATTCAACATTTAGCCATTATTACGGAGATTGGTTTTACCAGCAATGATGTGCATTGAGAGGAACATTCTCGTTGTAAAGAAAAGGAGAAAAATCAAAATGGATAAATAAAATAATTAATTAGTGGGGTCATTTGCAGGAGACCATTCTCGCGGGAGCTATTTCGAGGAAAGAAAATTGCATTTATGCCATAAATCGTTTTAAATCTTTTAAAGCAACATAGGAGATAGAACAACATATGCACATTGAGTTTTGCCCAGATTAATTGAAATGGGTAATGTTTAGGAAAGCGAATTTTAAATGCAAATCAGTTTCTTTGGCCTTACCAAGTACAGAACGAAATATATCTTTTTCTGCTATCGAAAGAAAGAAAAAAAAAAAGAAATTATTTCACCGAAGATCTCAATTTTTAGAAACAGGTGATACATGAGCCCATACTTCAGGACCTCAAGTTAAACATTGGTTCCTACTTAAATTTTCAAAAGATGGTAATTATAATTGATAATTTAGCCAACGCAAAAATGCTTCGAAAAGTAAATAAAAGCGGGATGCTGATTAGAAGTAATAATTTCGCGTGATGTTTTGTCGCTAGAGACCTTTATGAAACCAATTTTGATACTTTCTCTGATTTTCTCGTACATACTTGTTACAACAACAATGTATTTTTTCAAGGTTATTATTATTTTATTATTATTATTATTTTATTTTATTTTTTTACTGTAGACACCTTGCTCAAGGAATCCTTGCAAAAACAACCGCAGCTGCATCCCAAATTACGAAGACGATCAATATCATTGTGTTTGCCCGGCGGGCTATATAGGCCTTCATTGCACGAGAGGTGAATAAAACTAGTATGTTCATTTACAGTCATGCTGTTGTTTAGTAATCGCCTTTTTGAATTTTATCAAGTATGAGTCATTTTTATTAGAAAAATTATAAAGAGATTGTGTTTGTTTTTATTATTGTCTTACTTAATTATTTAGTTCAGCTCTTACTATATTCATGAAAGAAAGAGTTGTTGTTGTTGAGGTTTTTTTTTTTTTGAAAAAAAAAAAAAAAAAAAAAAACTATCAGTGTTTCGCGAGATATCAATAGACCTATTAACCGATGTTACGTACGCTTTTCCGAATTTCTTGGAGCCCCTGAAGAATACCCGGCCTGCCACCATTTTTCTCGACTCTACTTGTACACATAGTACTTTTTTAAAAGAACGAGGAATGCGTACGAATGAATGAACCCGAGTGGCAGGGTATTCTACCACGGTTCTTTTCTTTATGCCAGGGACGACGCGTGCCCCCTGGGTCCCATATCTTTCATGAGTTTGCAATCTGTTCTTATGAGACTACGAATATTTACTTATTTGGCGCGATAAACTGATCTATGGAGGTGGTTGTTTTGTTCGTATGAAAAATACGTAAAATTGCATCTGCTTTCGCGGAAAACAATTGGTTTTGTCGATAGTAAATCTGTTCACTTTAGCTTTTATGCTTCCGCGGTAGAGACATCACACTTGAAAGAATTGTATTAGCCTCGAATCTATTTAGCTTGAGTAAAATCTAAGATCGTTCTTTAACTTCTATCTTTGTCACTTCTAGAATGTCTAGCTCCCTTAGGAATGGAAAACCATAAAATAACTGCGGCACAGATCTCAGCGTCTTCTCAAGCTGATGGAAATTTTGCCCCACGCCACGGAAGACTACATTACAAGGGTATTGGCGGCGCATGGGCAGCAGGGGTAATTGATGCAAATGTACATGAGTGGATTCAAATCGATCTTCGTGTTGAGGCAAATGTTACTTTTGTGGCAACCCAAGGGAGATACTGGAACCCCGACCAACGGGTGACCGAGTACAAGTTACAATACAGCAAGGATGGACTTTCCTTTCAGGTTTATAAGCAAACTGGAGATAACTCATACAAGGTGAGGATTGGGGTGGTTTTCAGAAAAATGTTACATCCTCAGTTTAAGAATCAAATAGTCACCGCGTATATTCTATTTGAAAAAAAAAACTCGCTTCTGTTTAGAGACTCGTCCCAGACTATTGCTACTCTTGGAGATAGGACATTTAAGGGGCAGCACCAAAACTCTGGATTGAGTCACTTATTTCATTTGTAATACCTCTCAGATTGGCTTTCTATTGGTTAATTGATTGTATAATAAACTATTTCTTTAGTTATCACTTCAGTTTTATTTTAATGTTTTTTATCATTTTTTGACGCGCACTTGAAAACTTATGTTGAACTTGCATTTGCTTCATAAAAACCTTTGCTATTACCATTACCATTACCATTACCATTGCCATTGCTATTGCCATTGCCATTGCCATTACCATTACCATTGCCATTGCCATTACCATTGCCATTGCCCTTGCCATTACCATTACCATTGCCATTGTCATTACCATTGCCATTACCATTGCCATTACCATTGCCATT